ATACAACCAAAATAAAGCCAGACAAGTGAAAGTACGATCGTCGGTGTTTGACGAGTGAATTTTATCTACTGAAAAGTTCCACTCGACTATAACTATTTGTAGTATTTCGTATACCTCCGTGAATATTTTAACAGGATCGCATTTCAGTACTGGCAACTACGTAGAAAAATAATTACGGCTAATAAAAACAACTTTGTGTACTTTTAAGTATGATAAAATAGATAAGCACTCGTTCCACTTATAATCTTTATCTACTGTTACTTATACAACTAATTTCTAGTAAAGTCTTGACAAAATAAACGTGAATCTCAAGCAGTTAACTAGTGCTCAATATATTCAATTAGAATACCTGAATTGACAGTTATAATTATTGAGTATAATTCATAAACTAAATCTACATGACATAACGTGGATAAGCCTATGTCTGTAGTTAGCATCAAATATTGGTGTTGTTTAAGGAACTAGTCCCTTATAGAAAGATGATGAAATTTATATAATACAATTTAATATTCTAGAAGAATTCCTTGTTTAGAGCACCTTTTTGGTTTTAACAAGAGAGTAGCATAGAAGACAAATGAACGCGACGTCACATATATAAAGATTAAAAAAATTCAAATATTTCATTTTTAGAAGACTGATTGGAACTATTAAAATCGAACTCAGACCAGAGTGTATACATAGCAGAATTTCTGAATTACAAAGCAAAATTTAGCTTATCACGTTTTTTGTTTTTGTGTATATATTAAGATATTATACTATTGTATGATATAATTCAATTGTTTGTTAAGTTATGTTTTTTTACACATTTTCGTATTAAGTGTACGTACAAATGTCATTCACCATCTTTCTTTTAACGGACGAATCTTAAATTCACTTAGTGACAGTATTTGTAGGTATCTAAATTAATATTATTTTTATTCGATGATTTATTAACGTCGATGCTTAACTATAGTTTACTTCTTAGTCGCGTTATAAAGTTCAACGAGGAGTTAAATTTGATTCCTTTTATGCAAATGTTAAAGGTCTTATCACACTGTGTATTGAATATAGCTTAAATCTATCGAACCACTGGTATCGTGAAAAATGTGACGGCGCCCGATATCTAATACTACATATGAGGTATTAATGAAAACAATTTTAACGGTTTGAAACGCGAAATCTATAGCTTGACTTAACTACGACCCAACGTTCGGATGCTTTGCAGCTGTGGTCACAGAGGAAATATAGACTCCTTTATATTTGCGTTAAATCTAGCGTCGGGTCGTTGTTAAGAATAACTGCCATTTCGCGTTTTTATTCGTTACTAATATTTTTTTAAATGCATTTTGTTCAATGCGTAAACTACAGACAATATTTTAATGTAGTTAAATGTTAGTAGAATCCCAACCATGACTTTCGTAGTCCAGTAGCACCCGAATAAAATTAAAAAAAATCTAATGGCAAGCGGACGCGTTCGTTCGCGTTTATGTAAATAAATACTTTATACACACGCTACAAAACTCATGGTTTAACATGCGCCAATATACATTGTACATATCTGACATTTGAGTATTATATACCTTAAAGACTTATTGCCATACGATGACAAGAATCGAACCGACTAACGTTTCGTATATAAACGAACGCAATATTAATTCCCTTTATTACTATTTTTAGTATGAAACTTAAGTTTTAGAGGCATCTGAAGCTTTCACAATTTGTTACTGAAGCTACCGGAAGAGTTTTGTATGTCTATTACCTAATCTACCGTAAATATTGTTTCGCATTAAATTAATTGCGCAATTTTAATACCAGGAACAGTTTTAGCATATTTGCCTGTTGGACGGAGACCACATTTACTTAAACGCTCCCCTTCCAAAATTATTATTGTTGTACGGCCATGCGAGACTGTTTTTTATGAGAAAGGAGGGCAGAGCGTGGGTAAAATATCCCAGCCACATAACATCTCATCAAGATAAGCATCTACCTATTTTGGCTTTGGATATTCGGAAAACCACAGACTGATACCGTAACGCGATAAACTTCACGGCAATTTCATCTGCGGACGGTGGTTCGTGATCCGGATGGAATTTTGATATTCCTACCACCTGTTTAGTATCCCGATTTCCAGGTGACGACCAAACGAACTATACGTTTATGAGAAACGTGTCGGAGCTGGTGAAACCACCACTCGTTGATTTTTAGCTATATACTTCTACCATACCAGATGTCGTTACAATTGCTTTAAATAGGATAATATTCGAACTTATGAGTATTTTTTAAAGGTTCCGCTCGTCACCTGCCAATATCGGCGCATGCGCAAAGACACCCCCGTAAATGGATTGTCCGAAGTTTCTTTTCGATTGTGGATATACAAAAAAGAAAATTGAAGTATAATTTAATATGCTGATAATTAAGCCACACCATTATATCGACTGACATTGGTCTCGATTATTCTGGATAATTAATAAAATAAATAAAGCAACTTTTACAGTCTCCCGAAACTCTAAAAAACAGAGTGCTATGACCAGTATGAATACGCCTTTATTTTTTAAAGCTCGTTCTTTGAGTAAAATTATTGTGACGATCGCATGAAGCGCTATATAGCCCGTGCTAAGACGAAAACTGTCCAATATTACCGTGATTTTTAATAATCGTCTTATCGATGCATTATTCGGTTTACGTGCAAAAACACTATCACTTTACCAATGCATTCCACAAACAAATATTCTACTGTGTATATTAGAATTATTCTACAGAAAGTAGAGATATAGACATAGAATATTGTTCGTAGAAGACCACCGACAAAGAACACCTCTTAAAGTACATTTGCCATAAAGACACTAGGAGCAACGTCGCTACCTCAGTCATAAAAGACGTGAATACACTAATCTAACTAAACTAAAAAGATCTACAATGGAAGCATTACATTTCAATTCCGTGTGCTAAAATTATGAATAGTTGACTAAGCCTTAATTTAATGTGTACGTGGAAGAGGTGAAAATTGTTCGTTAAACTAACACTCTATCTACATAAACAAACAATTTTTACCCCTAAACAATGGTCCATCTTTTACGTTTTGATATTCTACACCTACGGTGTTTCACACAACCAGAACTTTTTATAAAACGTTTGTTCGAACACCCTATTCCGTCGAAATAACACTAAATCAAATTGACGTGAATCTAAATTGATGCGAATCAGTCGACAATTTTCGATTAGAGTACTATAAATGCACAAATCGATAGCGTATTAAGCTGCTATAAATATTAAGAAAACAAAACGAGATAACGAATATAAACACATGATTTTAATAACTCCCCTATTAAAACATCTGTGTCTGCATTAACGCCATTTTGTAAAACAGACGTTCACAAAATGGCGGAACTATTTTTGACAACTGCGTCATTGTGTCTATTTCTGTTTCATGCAACGACATCTCTTGTCAAAAAGAGCGAGATAATTTAGATTCGGTCTACGTCTGAATGGTACAAAATAAAGGTCTTAACAATACGTGTTTTATCTCAGTTTTTAATCAAGTCCTTAATCAAATCCATTTTTACATATTTCATCGATTTGTTCAGCAAATTCATTATATAAACTGCATTGACAACCGTGGCCGCTAATTAAAGCGTTTTCCACGTTGTATTGTAATACACGCGATTATTGTGTGTAAAGGCACTAATAGTTATGATATTAACCATGATATAATATTATTACGTTAGCGTTACACTTAACACGTGCAACTGTGCATATTCCATAGTGTTTTAGCCCATCCGGAAATAACTTCACTTTCTATGGGCACTGGTGACATTTGTAAGACTACCCCCAAACTCCTGCATATTATGACGTCACATAATTCGCACGCTTAGTATTAGAGTGGCCTAACTCAAAATTTAAGTAAAATTAAATAAATGCACTGACATTACTATAATAACGCCATCATCATAGTTTTATACGATTTGCCAAAAAAGTGTTTTTTTTTTTAATTCGGTCACTGTAATACTAAGCGTGCAATATGTTGCAACTTTACGTAAGAGGTTATTATCTATATATATATAGTTTTCATTAATAATGCAGAGTTATGCCTACTTTGGACTTATACAATTCTACGACACCCTCGTTACCCTCTGATGTGTGACGTTATTTAGGGAAGGTCCCTTAAGACGTTCGTAGGCATAATCAGTGAAAGCGCTTGACAAAAGTTTTCCAGTCCAAATACGGTGAATGGAATAAGTCTGCTAACATAGCCGAGCTTTTTAAGTTATTAAAAAAGCGCTTTTTTGTGTGCCCTAAATCTTTGAAAGTATCCTATATATTTCATTTGCACTCCATAAATTAATTTGTGATCAGTCAATGTAATATTTACAAAGCATAGTTTTATATTAAGTCGTAATAAGTGCTAGATTTTGAGTATGTCGGTATTCTACTAACTAGTATTTTACCAAATAAACGAAAATAAAAATAATACTGATACAAGAGCCAAATCACCGACGTGGAATCATTTTGGAGCGAATTTGTGACATTTTACTTAAAGAGAGACGATCTGGAAAAAAAATATTAATTTTATTATTCAGGAATAAATGCATTTATTAAATTTTTAATCGAGACTTCATAGTAGCTAATTTATGGCTAAGTGTATGGTCAATTCAAACAAATAAAAACTAATAATAAATATACATACATTGTTAAATAAATATAAAAAAAGCTTCGTAGGGAATACCTTTAATGTTACAATGTGAATATTGTAAATGTAAAAATTTGACATACATATTAGAATACCATGGACTGTTTTATGCAGCCTTTTTAAATAAATTCGAGATTTGAACTTTTTACAATATTATATGTCACATCCAAACTGACACATTATGTTGTAGATACATACAAATGAATCTTAAGTGAAACCTTAGTTAAAAATACAATCTAAAATTATATTACGCATATATTTACATAAATAGCAAGATTCTTTATTTACCTTATGTATTATCATACAGCTGTGTATTCGCATAAAAATTGAGTAATTACTGCGCAAGAGTATAATTGTCTAGAGGATTGAAGTCTTTGCTGGTCATGTGAGATGCATTATGGGCTAGTTTATATCCCCAAAGATTTAACGCTTCTTTGCAAGCCATCTGAAAACACAAAAAATACGTTAAGAATTAAGTTATGGTAAACCTAAAAGGTTTGAATTCAACAAAAAAAATTATAACTCGGAGGGCTCGGTAGCTCATTAGGTTAGAGCATCAGCACGGAACGCCGTTTCAAGTCGTATTTTTTTCCATTTATAATAGAGTTCTAAAAACATAATAGTTTTAGTAGCATAGAGACAGATAAATAACTCCAGACATGTAAGAAATGATAAAAAGGGCTTAAATTTATAATGTTAAAAGGCTTAATTTTTCATGATGACAATCATGTTTACTATCTAACAATAATTTGATAAGCTAAGTGTCCACTATATGCAATCTAATTTGCTTATCTTTCTTCTTTTATATATAAGTTGTTGTAATTGGATTACTTGGAATTTAAAAATATTAGTCATAAGTTACTTCGATCAGCTGCGTGGACGCACTGTCGTCATAGCTCGATAAAGACAATTTTTTTTACATCTACCCGCGAAATAAACTTTAAACACAATCCACGTTTTTACGTAAATTCTTAAATATTTCAAACCAATAACTAAGGTTAATATTTAAAATCCAACAAACATTCAATCCTACTTACGCCATAGATAACAGCAAATACTTGTTATAAAAATATTTATAGGCAAACATTAACCTTATTTACCTGTATATCTTCAACATAGTCGAAATTTAAAACATTCCTCCATTTAAAAGGCACTTCACGGGAGACCCTGAACGTGGAACTGACTCCGGATACTTCAACATTGGTGTGAGAGAGAAGAAACTCTTCAACTGACGTCGTCGGGCTGATTCCTAGGAACTTCAGAAGTCGGGGCACTGTGTTGTTTGGTTCTAAAGCTAATTCTTCGTAGCGTTGCACCCTAAAAATAAAAATAAAAACAAAGTTTCATATCTTTATACGGAACTAGCTGTGCCAGATTTGTTTTTGCCTACTTACTAAACCTACTCTTCATCTTTATAAAAATTGAATCTGTTACCCACGACATCAGTCGCGTCCCGTACTCCTTGCAAGTTAATCTCTCGGGGCACCCTTGGTTTAGCCCAAAACAGCGGGGGCGCTCCCGCCCTCCCCCAACACCCCCGGTTAGCATCCCGTGCTCCACAATAGTCCTTAAAAAAAAAAAAAGCAAGTTAATCTTAAAAGATAGACATATAGCGTCGCGTAAATATCTTTAGATCATTTAAAGATGACGACACATTCTTTCATACATACACATTTCTCGCTGTTTCTTCACTCCTACTAGCTACAGCGTGATGTTTTATAGCCTATAGACTTCCTTAATAAATGTTTCAATTTGAACAAGTAGTTCTTGAGACTAGCGCGTTCAAACAAACAAATTCTTGAGCTTTATATATTAGTATAGATAGGTCAGGCATAGGCGTCCGTTTAATTTACAAAAAATATTCGCGTTCACTTTTACATCAAGAGCCCTTGCTTCATAGTATATTTATTGTTTAACCGTTTCATGATTAGCTGCGCACTGCATTGAAGGTGCATTCGAATACCAGGAAAAACAGCATTTTTGAATTTAGTGGTTTACAAAGATTTTAATTTCTAAATCTCGTTATAACCAGACCAATCCACTCGAATTATGTAGCACACAATGTAACATACTATTCGTAACGATAAGATAAATATTATCAAACTATATGATTTGATTAGGCAAAACTTTTTTACTTAGTAACATAAATTTGATTAAGTAATAACTAAGTTGTTCCGAGTATACTTATAACAAGTATGTAAATATTAAAAATGTCGTCAATCGTTTTCAACTCCAATAGGCGTTGCTTTGAAAGACAAGTAACTTGTCAGTCTAGTGGTGAGTACACTCGACTGCACATCACAAGGTCTAGGGTTCAAATACGGGGTCGGGCAGATAGCTGATTATGTATTTAGACATTTTCTAGTAAGTGTGTCACCCCCTTTTAGAAGGGGCAGTCATCATCATCACTAAGTGTAGTGATGTTAGCCAACAGTAGCGTGTTTTGAGTTCTTAACCCCTCTTTCTTATTTAAGCTGTTCCCAGTGTGATAAGGTGTCCATTATCACGTGACCTTTTTTAGAATTTTTACACCCCTATTGGTGATACGTAGAGAGGTTTAAGACCAACCTCCCCCTCTTCACGTGTATTTTTAGTACCTACAAAGATTCTTAAAATGTTCTGAATATTATCTTAATATAAATACAGTTGTAAACTATAATCTTATTTTATTCTGAAATTAAGGACCATAATAAAAATGTCTACATCATGTGTTTAAAAATCGCGCGTTTGACGAATAAATCTATATCCCCCTTCCCCCTTGTGTTATTTTCGTGATTTTTATCAACACAACTCCCCCCCTGTCGGACAACCCCTAAGGTAGTTTAATCCGCTCAACATAAAGCATCAAGCAATTAATGCGGACTATCACAATGCCTTTTGACGGGGTCATTGGTAGTAATGTATGGCTTATAAACAACGGGTTGGTTCGATCCCCACTGGGCCCAACACATTTCTGATCAATTTATAATCTTACTGAAACATGTCGGACTTCGTCCGGAAATCTGGATATTAAACGAATGATAGGATATCGAAAAACTGTCCGAGTCGCTAACCATCTACAGATGAAAAGCAGTCAAGTTCACCGCGGATTCAGTTTGTGGATTTCCTAATACCCAAAACCAGAATCGGTCAACATCGCACCTTTTTAGATATTATATTGTTGGGGATAATTCACCTCCCATCAAGTGAGCCTCATACTTAAAAAAAGCAACATAATTTAACCTTCAATAACGGGCGGCCTAAAACCCCCACACCCCGAATCTACTCCACTGCGCCGCGTTAAGGTCGAAAGCGAAAAATTAAGATATTACGTAGATTTAAGCTTCATTGAGAGACCAAGAGTAATCCGCAGACCTTGTGCTGCGCACAAACAATAGCAATTATAATTCTGGTTTTAAATTACTTGTTCTACTTTCTTAAATTGCTGCAACCTACTAACTATAAAACGCTATGCGACTGTTAGACTGTATTTTAAAAATGGTAGGGTTTGTATATAGACTATATAAATAGAAACTGGAGGGTATCAAGCCACATGCTGATGATATCATTGAGATATTAACCAGTAACAAAATAATCGCCACAGTAATCGTTAATAATAAAAATAATTTATTTTCAATAAAACTATACTTTGTGGTACAGGCGGACAGACATCGGGTTCCCTTGATGGTAACTGAAATTATATATCATCGAAACAAGGTGCGCTATTGACCTATTCGGGGTATTTTGGCTTTGGATATTCGGAAATTCACAGACTGGAATCGATTGAACAATTGGACTTCACGGCTTTTTCATCTATGGGCGAAGGTTCTTATCTCGGACTGAATTTCAATATTCCACCCATTAAATTTCCAAAACTTCAACATATTTCAGAAAAAAATATATAATTGATTAGAAACACGTTGGACCCGGAAATTGAATCCACGATCTGTTTTACCGATTATTAGCATGTGTGAAATCCCGTTTCCCCCTCGCGGGGCGTGGGGCGAACACATTTCTGTGTCCGTTTCACTGATCCGTTCTTTTTAACAGGTCGTAGTTGATCAGACTTCTGTGACCTACCCGACCGTAACAAGTTTCTTTTTGTTCCCCTGGGATTCGAATTCAGGACCTCTCGCGCATAACGCAAAGCTAGGCAATACGTTTACCATTTGGCTACAGAGGTGGTTGATTATAAGCATATATTGCTAATATTAGACTAATATTATGGATCTGTAGTCCAGAGTATTCCGTTTTATAAAATAATAAGATTTCTAGACAGTAGCGTTAAATAAATGTTTAAAATATTTACCTCCTTGGAAAATAAGCAGATTGCCTGAATTAAATTTTACGGTACATGCGCACTTTAAAAATAGAATTGTTTGTGTTTTATCAAGAGATCTATCTACAGCGGAACCAAGTAGCAGTAACCTGTTTACAGCACCTCTAAATATTATTCACATATATTTTTTTTGTCTGTGACTTTGAATAAAGAAGGAATAATTTAAAAGTCTTTTAAATTTAATTACCCGCAAGTAGATAGGGTAATAAATATAGTAATAAAAACGGGGCAAACGCGACTTGGACTTAAGTGAATGATTCCGTATTAATACGAGCGTTCTTTCAAAATATTTGTTGTGTATTATAGCTGTGCCCGCGACTTCGGCCGCGTGGAATAATTATTTTGGACATCATATTATTTAATTTTGCCAACAACCTGAGCTTCACAAATTATAGGTAACACCTATGACGTCGGCCGAGTGCCGTCGTTCTTGCGAGTTAATCTAAAAAGATATCTTATCTTGTACATGTGTATTATGACGGAAAAAAAAAGTTAAATTCTAAAATATTCATTTATTAGCCAAAATTAGGCTTAGCCTACAAAATGCGCGCCAACGTTCGTATTTGCGCACTAGTATTGTGTCGTTCCCGCTAAGTCGGAGGATTATTCATATCAGTATATATGAATAATCCTCCGACATATACACGATATTTATCTATATATGTATATCTTTAAGAGATATACTGTCTCGCATTTTTTATAGATCATTTAAAGAAGAATCACTCTAAAGAGTGTATTAAAATTCATATTTTTTTACAGCGCACGTAAAGAAAGCCATCAAAGACGAATAATTTTTCCCAAAATTTCCACTTATTGGTTCTTCTTCGTTCTTGACAAATAATCCAACTAACACAAAAAATATTTTCAATTCGAAACAGTAGTTAATAAAATTAGCGCGTTCAAACAAACACACTCTTCAGCTTTATAGCATTAGTATAGTTACTAATTGATTTTTAGTAAAAGGGTCCCTATTCTCCATGAATCTTTTCCATGTCATGTTCACGGTCATTGCTTTCAAATAAAGATGCAAAGAAAAAAAAACATTCAGTAGAGTAGTAGATGAAAGTACACTCACATAAGTCGGTCTGGATATTCCGATATCAGGCGACTAGCTGCAACATAATCGCTGACCATATCAGCACACAACAGTTCAGGTTTCCAGCAGTCCGGAGATGGTTGACAGAAGTTACGGTGTTGTCTAGACTGCATTACTCCACGGGGATCTCGGATCAATAGGATTACTTTAATGTTAAGCCTAAAAAAAAGAACAAAATTTTCAGTGTTACGAATATGATATTCTATTAAGCGTTTTGTATGGAATAGTTTTTTAGTCTGACTATTCTATAATGTATAAACTGTATTCTCTAATGTATAATGCATGGGAAAATGGATGAAATAGTAGAAAATGTGGATTAGTCACCCAGCCTTCTATAACTATCCCCAATAGAAAATAATAATTCTACAATGTCCAATGCTAACAGTAAGCAACAATATTCGATCATTGTTTTACCAGTATTTACATAACTATTATTTACTTTTAAGGGTACAATTTACATGTGTATGTTAAATAATGTACAACATACTGTCAAAGTTATTTCTAGCCTAAGTAGAAAGATTGTGACTAGAATTTTATTTTAATGTTTGACCCAGCAACTGGATATGCGGAATATTGAATGTAACATACAATTATTGCAATTCAACAACATTTTTTTGCTCTTGATGTGATGATAGGAAATAGGTAAACAGCACAGCAGAAGTGAACCACACACTTGTCTGTCCTGTCCCATACAATAAATAATACTCACTCTTTATTCTCCAACAATTGTTTCATAAGTCGTAGTCTGATACGAACTACCTTCATGCTTTGAAATGGAAAGAGTCTACAAAACTTAGAAGTGAAGTCTGCATCGAAACACAATTCCTTTCTATATTTACAGTGGTCCCACAGTCTTGTATTGTGACTGAACTGGTGCAAATGCGTTTTACCATATTCAAAGTAATCATCCATGCCCTCGTAATCACATTTCAACATCTTTGTAATCATATTCAAGGCTTTGTCAGAGTGTGGTGTGCCTCTTATTTGTATAATTTCATAATTTAGAAGGGGTTCATAGTGATAATAATTGCCGGGCACAGAATTCAGCACCTCACCCAAGAATGTAGTTCCTGATCTCCAAGTGGAGATTATAATACTTCTTACAGGCTGACCACCAGATTCCATAATTAAATCATCTAGCTTTTTCACACCTGACACTGTAAAATTGTAATTTTCTAACTCGATTTTTATGTTATACCGTGTTTTCTCCATAATTGTAGCAATATTCAAAGAACCATCGTACGGATTGGTAGGAATCTCTTGTGGTATACTTATTTCAATAATTCGATGGCTTTCAGGGGATGGACGGTAGTAAGTATTATCTGTATACCGACTTCCAGCAAGAATTAACAGCACACTGAGACCAAACGCTATACATATTGAATAAAAGTTAACTCGGCGCAACATTACTTATTAACAACGAATAAAGATCACTTTTACACTTCAGATAATTATTTAAACCGATCACGCTAACTTGTACTTAAAATCATTTTATAAAAGTTTTTTCGGTCATGTTAATTACGATAGCCTTGCTGTGGTTTCCGTAAAAACACCGCATTGCACCTTTAACGCCATACGTATATTTTTTGTCTCTAGTGAAAACTGAAATGTGTGTGAATGCTGCCTTGTAAAATATAAAATGAGAAATTACGAACTAGTCAAAGCTGTGTTGCAAGCCGTAACTCTTCTAATGTCTCTAAATGTCAAAATATATACCGATGTACAGTGATTACACAATACCATTTTATATGTTAATCAAAGTTCTTTAAATTATATGACCGAAACAATAATATAATTTTTAACACAAATATTCCATTTGACCAAATAAAAACAAATTAGTTAGGCATGATTACTAAAATAGTAAAAGTAATGTTTATAAAAATAAGTAAAAAAACAACACAATTCGGGGATATTATGTTGTTTAGGCAACATTATATGTGAAAACGTCAATTTGAAGATGAACTATTTGACAGTGACACTGGCAGTTATCTACAGATTGCCGAATGCCTTCAAAGTAAAATGCTTGGTAGTTTTTTTACTTGTTTTGCTTTGTGGTTACTTAAATTTAATAATTATTTCATAGGAGTTATTTTTAATAATTGTTTGTATTCAAATTAAATAACCATGCCTGTCAAAAATATAGGACAATTTTGATACAGAAATAGTTTATTTTAGCATATTAAATTACTATAAATATTATTGCTGGGTTAGACTTTATATCCCACTATATGCATCTTTCCAATTGTCTCTCCTAAATAAAACCATAACCCCACTTCAGTACCAACTAATGTAAGCAGCCACGCTTGTTTCACCGTAAGGTGTTTAAAACTACCGGACTGAAAAAACTCCTTAAGTAGTTTTATATCGTCTTTGATTTGCTGCAAATTATATAGAATTTAAATGATTTTATAGTAATGAATATAAAAGTTAATATGAAGCATAGCGATAAACCTTTATTTCATCAACCTTTGGAGGTGCCATTTCCAAAGTGTAAAAACCTTTAGCCGTCCGTAATTTACGTGCGACTTCGGACTTAGAAATATTTTCAGATAACTCTTTTATTCTCTTGAATAATCCTTCTTTTCTTCTATTAATTGAGGGCATATAGTATTCGGGTATCGCATCTATAGTTACAAACTTCATACGATCTCCTATTTAAACAGAGTATGTATTTTCTTTTATTAAATTGTTATTTATTATTATTTCCTAAAATATAATTAACAACTTACGCAATAAGTTTGCCGTTAATTTAAGGACATTAGACCTCAATACCATCTTGTGTCACAGTAATTTATTAAAAAATATCTATAATATTCACACGTAATATAATAAAATTTGATCGTAATAGAAATAAAATTATTTGATGAGCAATGTCACCTTTCAAACATTATTTTCTCAATATAAAATTTTCCTCTAACAAGAAGGTAACACGCACCACATACGTTTAGCAGTCTAGTTAGTTTACCTATAGATTATATATTTACTTTATAGATTTGGTTGTTTAACTAAATAAAAGATAGGTATACTGTGTAACATAATCTTTACTTCTACATAATATTAAAAAATTGTAACTTTAGATTTATTCGTTCTAAACATTAGCGTTTATATTGTTACAAATTTTCATTTCTTAGATTTTGGAGCGGAGCCCTTTTTAACCTCACGCCTGGTCGTCTTAGCTTTTTTTTTAGTTTTCGGTGGAACCCTTTTAGGCGGATCTTTCGATTTAGCTTTAGTTTCAGGTTTTGCTTCTTTGGGTGCTGCTTTTTTGGGGGTTTTTTTTTTTTTTGGGATCCGCTTTTTTGCCAGTTTTTGGTGCTTCTTCCTTAGCCTTTTGAGCTTTTGCGCTATCGGCAGCCTTCTGGGCTTCAGCTCGTTTTTGTTCTTCAGCTTTTTTTAAGGCTTCAGCTTTAGCTTTTTCTGCAGCCGCTTTGACTGCCGCTTCTTTCTCTTTTATGGCTCGTACCCTTTCAGCTTCTATAGCATTTAACTTTTGTTCAAGCCCTCTTATGAAATTTTCAGATGCACTAGAAGCAGCGTTTTCGAGTCTTGCTCCAAACGCTCCTTGGAATATGTGAGATGTCAATGGTGGTATCATTTCAACTTTTGCATATTTCCATGCCGTTGCAACTACCGGTTTTAAATTTTTGCTAACCACTAAAATGTTAATGAAATTATCATTAAATGTCTATAAACACAACCACGGGTATAACCATAAGAATGTCCCTACCTAGTACGTTAAGATTATGTGCTTATTACTTTTTTGTATCTTCGATTTCTCGTTTTAAACTCTCTACTTCTTTTTCTAATTGCTCTAGCGCTTTCGGCAAATATTGTGCTCGATATTGTAGACATTTTGATATTAACTTTTCGTGTAATGTTTCGAATGCCGATTCTGCTTTTCTCACTATAGGGTTGCAAACTATTGGCTTCGCTTTTGTTTTCGCAATGCTGTCTTTGGCTAAATACCACAATTTTGACACACCTTCCCCCCCTTTTCTCAGAGAAACTGCAAAACAAATATAGTATTGTTAGATATTAGAAATGAAATAAAATACCAATTAAAATTTAAGTACAATTCATATATTTGTTTTGCATTTACGTCAGTGTGAAAAGCTTGCGTTAGAAAGGGGTACAGAAGTAGATATAACTGTATTGTCTTGGTTGTCATTAATATGGTCTGTTTTACAGTCAAAGAATACTTACAGAGAGCTACATCTAAGGCAGCCTTCATTGTTCCCATTAACGGATATAATATCGATGGAAATAAATCAAAGTAAAATATAATTTAGCATGCTTTGTGTTTACGATTGGTGACAGCTATAATCAACAAAGGTGACTTTTTCATTGTAGTTTAGTATTTATGGTACACGTTTCAATTATACACGAGTAAGTCTAATTACAAATCGAGTTTTTTCGCCTTTTTATAGCATAAAGAATTAAAAAAACATTTCTTTTTATTATTCAACAAATGCGAGTTCAAAGTCTGCAATAGAATAAATAGTGGACAACACTCATATTTCATAATTCAAACGTTCCGGTTATTAAGAACCGTTGTCGTCTTGATAGATATGCAAATAGGCCTAGACAACGCAAATATATCTAGAATTATAAGCTGACCTCGTTGATCAATTACCAGTCAGTACACAACACTTTAATAATCTCAATAACCGTTGATTTTAATGCAATAAATTTTAATGCTCAAGATTAAATGACTAGATTTCGCCCACTTTATCTGCGTAGAAAGTGACGCGGCATTTTCTATACTTTCGAGAAAATTAAAAACAGAAAATGTTTCTAAACTATTTAAAAACCACAGGTTTCACTCAGTATAAACTATTCATGACTGATCAAGGAACACTAGCCTATTCGAAACACACAATGCGTCTCTCGACTGAAACAATTGATATTTACAAGTAGCGTGTAAGTAGTAGTAGTTGATTCTATGCCTTGCCCGATTGAAATTATAGTCTATCCTAGGTAATACTTTTAAATAAAACAGTTTAACGGTTTAAAACGCGATATATATTAGGTAATACTTATCATGCCAAGGGGTATTATAATATATCATACGAAAAAAACTCACTTAAACATTTTCTCTTACTGTCTCAAGCTTTCACTTCGCGTCGCTAATATATTTTTTAAACAGACTCTCAGCTGTTTTACCATTACGACATCTTACTCAATTTCAGTAGAGACGTTTTGGTTAGCACATTTTACGTCAAGAACGAAATCGTCCCAACTCAGTATTAGCGCGCGAGTGTGAACGAAACAATGCCATGTGATAAACAATGGCTTAATCCAACTGAAGGTCTATTAGCATAATATAAAAACAAATATAGTTACCGCTTTGTTATTGCGACATTAGTTTAGACGTAACCAAATTATTTCAAAGAGTACAGTTGTCTGCTTCTGCGATTTACACTGGCCTCTCGATAGCCAATTGACACTAACTATCCTGTCGCTAAGTAAAATAGTGTTTGTAAAATAGTAGACAACTGAGATAGTCATATCATGAACCAAAAAAGCCGAGTAAATCATATATTAATTTAAACTGTTAGTTACTGTTTTGTATCATTTGTGACTTACTTTCAACCCTTACCGGACCATAAGATAGCATTCGCAATGCATAATTATATAGAATACAAACAATATTTTAGTAATTGTAGATTTCCTATAATTTAATACGTTTTATCGATTAAATAATAATTGAATAATCGATGACGTAAAAGGGAAAAATATTTCCCATGAGCGTGAAAGGCTTACACCGAAAGCATATTCACTTAAATCCAAATTCGTTAATGTCTTTTACATATATGTTTACCAGGAATAATAAAAATTATTGGACAATTTGGAAAATATCAAAGGTAACCTTGCATTGTTTTAATATTTTCGTTCTTTCACTAAATTCTTTACATACAAAGGAACTTACCAGGAGTCCAATATGTTCCCTGTCTTTTCGTCCTCGAAAAGTCATTGAAAACTTACATGCGTTAAACTTTCAAACTATCCCTTTTACTTGCGCCTTCAATATCTATTCAGGCGTAGAAATATTCCATGAACAAATTCTCATTATGCAGCAATTCCAGAGTTTAATAAGACACGAATGTAAGCAGATGCAACTTTCTCGCTCATTAAATTGCGAGCATCCATTTTACGATAACGTTAGATTGATTGCGTTGACTTTCTAGAATAGATAACTTTATTGGAACCGCATATTAAAATAAAGACGAAATAACACATTGAAATGTTGACGGGTAACGGGTCGAGGTTCCCCACCGGGTCGAATACGTTTCAGATCAATTTATTATTTTTTTTAAATATTTAGGACTTCGTCTGGAAATCTGGATATTGGTGGTAGGAACATAGAGATCCCATCTGGGTCACGGATAACCGTCCAAAGATGAAAAACCCGTCAAGTTTTGCGTTTTGGTTTCAGTCTGTGGAATTCCAAATATCCAATGTTATATTGCTGGGGTTTTTCACCGACCATCGAGTGAATCCCATGATTATCTATCCTCCACTATTATAAAAAAGTACTCGTAAGTTATGCTACTAAGTCTCAATTGAATTTACACGTTTTGCTTCTTTACCTTTTAAAAAATCGCTTTAGTTTATCACTCGTAAGTTACTTTTAGCGAACCAATAGGGTATCATTAAAATAAAATACTTTGAGCGGTTTAAAACGTGAAATGAATTAGTTAAACTTATTTGTAAATTATTTTAACTACGGCCCATCACTCCCTGACCACAGCCGCGGTTCTTTTTTTGATTAGGATTTTAACGTATTGGGTCTCGAATGCAAACCGGACGTTAAGGCATAATACATTTTGCGTATTAAACCGTGTTTTATTCAAAGTCTAAACTGGTTAACTAATATATTTAGTGTATTAAACCGTTAAAAGTGTTCTTTTTTAATTGTAAACTTATTAAAACACTTTTAATTAGAATTGTAAACATTTCGCGTATTAAACCGTTAAGTGTTGTTTTTGATTGTAAACTTAAATAAAACACTTCTAACAACTACCACGACCGGCGCTTTAAACCGTTAAAGTGTTTTATTTAAATTCTAAACATAAATAAAACACTACTTTTTACTTCACTTTCACGCGAAATTGTAAACGTTTCGCGTTTTAAACCGTTAAACGAGTTTTATTTAAATGTGTACTACTCGCGTACGTACAGTACATAATTAACCAGTACGAAAATTATGTTTTCCAGTGCATGTGGGCAACGAAATCTCTAAAGCGTATCATTTTATACGTATCACGTGCGTGGGCTAATAAAACCATGTAATTACACTTCGATGTAACCTAGATGCGCCCGATGCTATTTACTCCCGAAAGTTTTTATGCCTTGCCCCACTTTACAGGTTCGTTGCCTTCTAACTCATGTAACTGGACAATTTTTTGCCGCTCCGAACCTCTCATGACATGAAAAAGTACCGTCCAACTTTTTTGTATGATGCACCGTAGCGGGCATTTTATTTGAATTTTGATTACTTGGCGATGTTGGTTTATCTTTGTCTAATTTAGGATGATTCGTTTGACAGTTTACACTACAGACAGATTGAGGTGGACAGACAAGCCATATAAAATCTAGATACATCGCTGTCGATGTAATTTAGCTTTGGATATTTGGAAATATATAGACTAAAACTGAATAGCGATTAAACTTGACGTTTTTAGGTATATCGTTGGACGATATTTCGAGGCTTATCGAATTTTGATATTTCTACCATCTATTTTATATTCAGATTTATTTTTTTTCAAGAAATTGTACTTTTTTGTCTAGTTGATAATGTACCTTATACAATAGAGAGTTGATAGTGAAATCAAATATACCTATTTCATATTATGATTACAATTTGTGTTGTTGATCTATCATCATTATAGCATATTTAAATATTTCCTTAGTTTATTTATATATACACTAGATGGCGCTTATTGCTTGTTGCGCAAGTGAATTACAGTTTTGGTGAATTGAGTTGGCAATTATAAAAATATGATAATGTTAACATCGATATTCAAGTTTCATTTAAATCTGCAATCATTTGCGACTTATATAGGCGTAAAGTTTATATCAATTTTATCAGAATTGCCCCCTTAGCAATACATACTTGCAATTTAATTTGATACGATTCTAACATTGCAATTTCAGACACGCCTAATGACATAACGGTCGTCTACCGTAAACTGTAAACGGCTGCTTTACCTTTATTACTTTTTTTAAGTTAAGTTTCAACTTTTAAAGCGTTAGTTAATCGGTATTTTAATTGGAGGCCATTTTCACATGTCACTACTCTGGCAAGGCAGATAAAATTCTGATTGAAGTAATAAAAAGCCTCATTAAGCCTAATATATCACTTATTTCGATTTTTTAGACACACGAAAAAATTCTAGTCGCTGTCCCGACAAATAAAGGCTTTTGGACAAATAAAGGGCCAGCCTAGCTTTCAAAATGATGTTCCACCTAGACTGCAAATGGTAATGACTTGCAGTCTAGGTAAAATTGAAACGTTAAAAAGAATATGGAAAAACTACGAGAAAATAGTAAATCCATAAATGTTACTTTCCTATTAACTAGAATTTCCTGTCAAACATTTACGTTCAAACTTCGGTACTGTTGATTCAGGTGCACCTGTGCAAGTATTAAAATTGGTGTTGAATTGAAAATATTTATACATTAGTTAACATTCAATTAAATTTTGTTAATAATATTAACTAAATTTAGACATTTTAGCAATTTTGTTTTAGAATACAAAACAAAGAATTGTTTACAATTTCAGCCTTTTTTTAATGAGCATTCAAGGAAAGGGAGCACAACTCAAACAAATGCGACCTTTTTAAAAGTCCTTCAATGAGGTCTAACCTTTTTAGTTACAAAAAACACTATTGAAGTTGTTTACGAAAACGACAAGCTGCTTATTACACAAGGGCACACATCTAAAAACTTAAACAAATACGAAAATCGTGATATGAACGTTGTAAGCAGTCACGCATCGAATATACGGTGATTGAAATTAAAAATGCGTGTATGGATCTTCTGGAGATGATCTCAGACCTTGCAGGAAATAATTCCTTTGTGATTACTCATTTTATAAAAAAACCTAACACACGTATTTGCAGCATCTCTATGGCCCATGGTCATCGTTTTAAAAGGAACTTTATTGCTTAGTTAATTAATGGTATAAATAACCAAGGACTTAAGTAATTACACCAATACGCTAACAAATATATGATTGAATTGAGTTTTAGCATTGACGAAGGCTTTGTTGTCGAAAATAAATTTTTAAATAATATACTTGCTCTTTGCATTAGTATTTAGACACTAAGTCCTCTGCATTTCGAACAGGTTTCTTTAGAAATACCGACCCTAAATTCAGAATGGACTGGAGACAGATTCTGTCATGATGTAGCAACGGGGAGAAAAGTATTGTATGAATTTAAATTAAAGAAAATGGCGTTAAATATTTATAACTGAATATAGCTACTGAAGTACGTTTGCTTATATCCACTTATTATGTATTAACAAACTTATTCCTGGAACTCCAAATTGAGCAACTCTCCTACGCAGTAGATACTAATGTCTAGTTTATTATTATGGAGATATGAATGTACCACGATTAACAGGAACAGTGAACCACACCAATCTTTTACGAATGTCTTTTTGGTCAGCTTTATAACGGACGGCGTACTTATTTTAATATTTAATTGGGTAAGGATTACGATAATGTTAATTAATTCAGGGAATTATAGAAAATAAAACCTCTAAATTTCGCCCTAATTTCCTATTGTAGTGGTCTGTATACATACCTAATGTATTGCACGAATTCCACTTTATAGTGTTGATTAGAATCTTTTTAAAAAAAGAATTTTTAAACAAAGAGAGACAACAAATAAAAAAACGAACTTATACCGCGAGTTATTAGCCGTCTTTCATTGATTTTCAAGTTTTTATTTTTTTGCCTATTTGTATGAAATTAATGATAAATTATTCATATTCAGCTTCTAGCTCGCTAGGAGCCAATTATTGTGTTAGTGAAAACCTATACTTCACGAAGCTGACACTAATCCCGAGCCGATAGACAACGAAGTGCAATTCAATCCCTTCGAAGAACCAGACGGGTGTTTGTTGCTAATATTAGATGGGACAAAAAACATTGCCGTCGGGTTTCTGTCCCTTCTTTTAGTCCCTCGTCCCGGAGCGCGACGCTTCCGAACTATACACAGTATGAAGAATGTATAGGCGCGGCAGTACACCGCGCGCCGCTAGACGGTGCGCCCGTGTTCAACATAAATTCGTTATTAACCGCTGTGACATCTTCCAGAAAAGTGACCAACCTCGGTATTACGTTATATTACACAGTGCCACTATTTTTATAACGCCCCACAAGGATAACTTGTATCCTGCGAGCTCGTCTCACAAAATTCTCACTCGAACCATCTTTGGATAGAAAAACAAATATAACACTCCGGTAAGTTACATATTAGATACTTGTTATCGGGATTCCATTAAAAGCTCGATAAAACTTATGCCCCATTTTGACATGTTGGTTAACTACGTTTTCCATTTTTCAATTTATGCTAATTTTTTAATGCTTCATCTGTGCCGGTGAAAAGAGCAGGTGAAAGCGAATCACAGATTATATATTTAAGCGTGTATAAGCTTTAATTTAGTAAGTCGATCGTATAAATAATATCTGCATAGTCATTAGAGATTCTAGTTAACCGTCTGCAAAGCGAAGGATTTACATCTTATATGTTAATCTTTCATTAACTAAAAATATCTCTCGTATTTAATGACTGTCAAAGATATAAATTTACTTGTAATGCTGCTTACTGTAAGCCAAACTACCTATAAAGACCCGTTTTTAAACAAAGATTTAATTCAATAGTTACTTGTGTGCAATATTTATGCCATGCCTTGTGGATTGATCTCTCAAGAGAATCCGGTCTTTACATTATAAGTCAATTGTCTTATTGATATAACACAGGACACCACGTTGTATGTTTATCGGTATCTATCATATCACTCTCTTATTTATCAAAGTATCAATCTAGATATGGCTATGTCGTTTACCGTCTTATTACAAAATTGCTTAAACAGTGCATACATATGTAATATAATCACTAGGTATATAAGTGTCGGGATGTCCTGTTTCTGAACAGATAAAGTGACTCGCTGGATCGACAATTCGCATTCAAAACCAGACGCACAATTGTTTTTACGTTATAATAAAGTAACTTTTTGTATTGAACCATAAAATATTACTTACGTCGATAATTATATACATCACTTAAGCTTTTGTTTACTACGTCTCAGCCCAATAGTTAAACACTTACCCTAGAATTGCGTTAAGCGTAGGTCCTGTTTTCGATATCCAGGAAAACGTAATACATAATATTAAGACATTGTTTCCATTACGTGGCTCAGAAAACTGAACAACGACCAGATGTTTCAGACGCTTTGCAGGAGTCAGCCACTGGTCGGGGGGCCAATAAAATTAAATAAAAACTTAAAATTGCTTTAAAAACGTTAATATATTGCACATCCCAGTTTCTTGATTGTACTGCCCGAGTCGTAATTATTTTCAACATAATATATAAACGATTTTTAGTTTAATTTTTTATTTATTTAAATGTGTACTGTTCGCGTAAATTACAGACAATTCTAAAAAGTCATATTGAAATAACAATTTTTGGATGTAGATACGGTTTTTTTTATTCTTTTTTATTTTATAAGCCATACATCTCGTGATTAAGTCAGCAGATGTAGATACGGTTATTTAATGTGAAAATCTGTCGATAGTTTCAAAGATTTCAGACGGATCTCAAATTATATGTAATGCCTATTTATTATGTCGTGACTAAACATAATATTGTGTCCAATACCCACAATAGTTAACCTACATACATTGAACATATGATTTTCATGCAAATTCTTTTATTCAAGTTATTTCTAAAGTATTTCCCCAAGACTTTACCTACTGCTAGATTTGTATAATGAGGAAAATTTGCATGACTCGTGTTTCTTGTCTGAATAGTTAGAAGTTTTGTTTCAGCTGTCGATAGTAACTAGCTGTAGTTATGTTTTGTTTGATCACGCCCCGCTGTCGCAGTTTCAAATCAATAGTTCGTGTGGGTCCAGGTTCCAATTTATTTGAAATGTATATAGATTCATTAATTTTAAACACGTTTCTTGTATGCCGGCATTTGTTTTCAAACTTGAGTATTTTAAAATGACATTTAAGTATTTTGCCGGCACGTTGGTGTTATGGTAGCGATGTATGGCTTAATAATCAACGGGTCAACGTGTTTTTAAATAATTTTTTTTTTCCAAAACATGTTGGACTTCGTCTGGAAGTCCGGATATTAAGTCGGTGGAAGGAATTCTGGTCTGGTCACGTACTGTCCACAGATGAAAAGGCCGTGAAGCTTAATCGCATTTCGGTTGCAGTCTGTGGATTACCGAATATCTAAAGCCGAAATAGGTCCACGTTGCATCTCGTTTAGGTGTTATGTACTTGGGGTATTTTACTATCAAATGAACCCTTGCTTGGCCATCCTCCTCTATCAAAAGACTTAATTAATTCGTAATTTTACATTAACTTACGTTCCTCGATTTATTTAGTTTCAAAAGCGTCGCATTTAAATTCAAAAGGTCCGTAGGTCTCAATTCTTCCACAAACATGGTTTAAAAAAGCTTTTAAGCAGCCACTTAAATTTTTATTCGACGAAGACCAGTTCGACGTGAACCGCAGTATGGCATCTAATTCCCCGCAATAAATTGTGATTTTAATATATTTGAGATCATGTTACCCTGGTCACTGAACCCTTCCCTTGAAAACAACGCCACTCGACAACTTTTAAGTACTTGTGCCTACGCCGTTAAAATATTATGTAGGTATTAGTTTATTCAAGGTTTTAGAACGGAAATTACTGTGCCTTTGAAGGAAATAGGACTGATGTACGTATATATGTAATCTGTGTTAACAGCTCTTTAATCATACATAAACAGAAAGTGGGGTGTTAGTTAGATAAAAATCATATGATGACGCACAGATCATACTAAGGCCCCTGATAAGAAAAATGGCTGCTTTATAAAACTAAATAATATGTACTCGCAAGATGTCGTCCGCGTCCCATCGTAAAAGATAGATCGTTCTTTCAGACGTATTTTTTTTTTGTTAATCGGACGGTTTTCGCTGCGTTACGCAATGGAAGCTCTCAAAGATGAATAATTATCCTAATTTTTCCACATTTCCCACGGTTTTTCACCCCTATTGGTTGCAGTGTGAATTGTTATAGCCTTCCTCGATGAATTTTTCATTTAACACAAAAATATTGTTTCAATTCGAACAAGTTGTTCCTAAAATAAGGGCGTTTAAACTAACAAACTCTTCAGCTTTATATAATGAGTACAGATGCTTAAGTTACTGACGCGCTGGTTTAGTGGTTATTACATTAGACACTGATCAAGAGCTCTAAATTCGAATTTCAATTCAAAAATTTTAAATTTTTCTGAATACCAATGTGGAGTTTGGTACTAGGTGTCACACCGCTAAGCCGTCGGTCCCTGTTCGTCACATCTAACTGGCGTTACTCAAAGCCCACTAGCCCTCACCAGAGCAACGTGGTGGGTCATAGAATTCAAAACCTTTCTCCCACGAACCACGTCCACCTGAATAGGTAGAAACAAATAAAAACGCGTTTAACCTTCTTATTGTTACATAATTCCATTACATTCTCACACTGGTTAATAGCAATTATACAATTACTGCGTACGGGATATTAATATGAGTAAATGATACGCTATCGAGGAGTAATTGTTGGAAAGAAAGATGCAGTGCTGCCACCAGTGTATTTTTTATTACAGACTAGCTGTGTCAGCGACTTCGTTCGCATAGAAACGTAATTTTGGGCATCCAAGTTTGTTTTTGCAAACCTCTTTTTAAATAAAACCCCTTTATCGGTTTAAAACGCGATATATTAGTTAAACTTATTTGAAAATTATTTTTAACTTCGGCCCGAGTTTCGGATGTTTGCAGGCAGCCGTGGTCACGGCGGTCATATATCGCGTTTTAAACCGTTAAAGTGTTTTATTTAAATGTGTATATTGCAGTATTTAACCTCCTTTTTATCTGTATACATTAAGGCTATTACTCACGCGTCTCGCCGTTCTTGCAAGTCAATCTTAAAATATAGACATATAGAGTCTCGGACATTTTTTATATCATTTAAAGAACCCTTATCTTTAAACATTTTCGCAAGTACGCATCGGAAATTCACAAAAATTTATATTTTCCCCCTTTTTTCCACATTTTTTTTATTAGTTGCACCACAATGTTTTTTAGCCTATAACCTTCCTCCAATAAACGTTCTAACCATCACAAAAAAAAATCAATTCCCAACAGTAGTTTCTGAAATTAGCACGTTCAAACAAACAAACAAATTCCTCAGCTTTACATAATATTATGTATAGATGTATAGACGATGACAGAATAGCAGTGTTATTGGAGCTAGTCTATCTACCTATTGGTGTTGTCCTGTTTTACATTTTGAGAAGCAAAATTTCCACAGATTGAAACACTCCACGGGTTTTCTGTGGAGGGATCCTTGACTGCACCTCATTGTGACCTTGCAACCTTTTAAATTACCAGATATCCCAGACGAGACCAGACCCTGGTCGAGACATGTTTAGATCGAAAAATGATGTAGAAACTATTTCTCAATAACGAAAGCCTTAAGATACATGCTGGTGTGGTAGGAATCGAATTTACGACTCGTTTTGATAACAGGTAACTGATATTAGTACTTGTTTACTGGTACTGCTGAACAATGTACGTGTTGCATTCCGCGACACTTCGTATCTGGGAAATATCCATAACTGATTAAAAGTGATTAAAACCGTCGCCTGGTTGTTGCGCTTGCGCATCGTCTCGCCTGAGGCAGGATAATAAAAGTCCTTATATGAACTTAGAAGCCATTAAGGATAAATTAAATATCTTTCGAGTAAACATGTTAATTAACTATAAATATGATCAGGAATTGTGTAATTGCCTTCGCGTCCGTTTAGATCGAATTTCTATTGTTTAATTGTTAGTTTTACACTCGATTGAATGTTGGTGAAAATAGATTAATAAACTATTTAACGGTTTAAATAAAACACGTTAACGGTTTAAAACGCGATATATTAGTTAAACTTATTTGAAAATGCGCCGCGGGGAGGCGGCCGTGTTCCCGGGGGGTCCCCCCCGTCCCCCGGCTTTTTTTTTTTTTTTTTTTTTTTTTTTTTTTTTTTTTTTTTTTTTTTTTTTTTTTTTTTTTTTTTTTTTTTTTTTTTTTTTTTTTTTTTTTTTTTTTTTTTTTTTTTTTTTTTTTTTTTTTTAACGGTTTTAAACGCAGATGTATTAATTAACTTATTTACAATTTATTTTAACTACTTATCCCCCATGACAACGGCTGTAATGTATCC